GATGAAGTAGTCTACAGCAAAAGTGTCCCTGCAGTGCATTAGGCGACACAGTTAAATTATTAATTCTGATTAATTGTGCAGTGAGCTGGATGGGTGGTTTTGTGGGTCACTGAGCCAAACAGTCATGGGTGAAGAGCTTAGATGAGAAATGAACCAACTTGTTAGAAGGAGACTGATAGCACTTGTTTCTGTCTTGTTTGATAACGAACAGAAATTTGTGTTTTCATTTCGACGACAGCGTTGCGCGCTGTTGGGAGCTAATTTCTTCACAGAATGACCACTTTTGACTTCCCAGCATGTGGATACTCATTTTGTCGACCCACACCAATAATAAGTGGGGGTTTTAACGCCAAACCTTTCAATTAATGAGTTAATTCTCCATTTATGAGTTATCCTTATTTCATCTGGACACTCGCCACAATTGAAGCTTTGGGTAAACAAGCGTAGCAATATACATTTTGCAAATCATACGAGTTTCAGTTTTAATCCTGACAGGAGAACCTGTCCATCCCTTTAATCGGTATAATGAGCACACACTTATTGAAACTATTTTATATACATTGCTCGGCAATTGTGTGTACCATGTTGCCTGGCCTTGATCAAAATTACCCCGAAAGCACCCAGACTCATTTGGGATCTTGGAAACCCAGTTGGTGCTTGTGTAATGTGTTCAACTGAGTCGTAGCCATAGACTTGGAGGCAACACATTTATTCATTTCCAACACATGGGGTAACTTTCCCCTTAACATAATAACAATTTATGGTGGTGACCACCAGGCGAACTACACGAATTACAACGTCACTAGCTACTACAGACTGGGACCAATGACTTCGGCCCGGGACCACGTGTTGGATACTCGTTGAACGTAGAACGCAGATGAAGGGTTTCTTCCAGGATGAAAAACCACCCTGGTCTTTGGTTCTATTCGGTAAAGTAACGTAGGAAAAAAGAAAATAACAAAAAATCACGACGTTTGGGCCACAACACAAGTGGCCTTCATCAGGTGAAGGGACTGGACTGTCCAGAGGACAGCGTTGGAGTGAAGACAGCAAGCCCAGGTCGCGTCCTTTAAGCTGTGTGGGAGGAAACAAAAAACGCCTTGACAAAGGAATTAGCATAAAATTATGTACTGGACTGGCACGGTGGGGGGTGGGGGAGTTTACATAACGTTGGTGTGAAGGGACATAAGCTGCTGTGAAAGTTTGGAATACCACTACTTGAATAAATATACTGTACCATTGAAAGTTAGTTTAATGTTTGGTTTGATTTAGAACATCTTTCCAATGATTGCTTAATTTGAAACCATCTTCTCGGTTGAAATTGTGTCTGTGTTTGTAAATCTGAATTGCCTCGTGGACAAATCTCTGATAAAAACCCGTGGGTTTGCAGAGAACCTTGGTATCGGAGAAAACTATATCATGATCACCCACAGCGATGTAACAGTGATCAGCTACGGCAGAAGAATTCGTTCTGCCGTGTTTCAAATCTTATTTGTGCTCGCGAATTCGGTCAGAGACATGTCGTTTCATCTCCCCGATATAGCAGTCACCACAGGTGCAGCTCAGTTTGTAAACCCCGGGGTACTGTAAGTCAGGAAAGACATCCTTCATGGATGGGATCAGGTCACGGATTTTGTGTACTGTATTGAACCGGACCAGGATCTTGTGTTTGTTTAGAATTCTGGAGATCTTTTTAGTTAACGCCTGCTATATATGGAAGTGTGATGGTTTTGACCGGAGTATCAAGTGGTTGTTTCTGTATGGAGGGAGAAACAGCTTGGCGGATGGTACGGTCAGAGTATCCGTTTCTCTTGAGGGCCAGGTGTATATGTTTTAATTCACTGGTCAGGTGGTGTTGGTCCGAAATGCAATGTGCCCTGTGGTATAACGTTTTGATGAGATAATTATTTTGAGCTGGGTGGTGGTGGGATTCAGGTTTCAAGTAGGAATCTGTGTGGGTGGGTTTCCTGTAGACAGAATGCCCCAGTGAGCCATCAGGTCTCCTCTCAAACAGAACATCCAAGAATGGTAGCTTGCCATTTTTCTCCACTTCCATGGTGAATTTGATGGCGGGATGTCTAGAATTGAGGTGGTGTAGGAAAAGGTTCAAAGAACCTAGAACCACCCTGGTCCCTCTCAGAACCCGGCTTAAATTATCTGTGGAATGGCCGGCCCCGCCCTTGGCCACATCTTCCTTCCAGAATCCTCGGGAAGGATCTGGGTCCCAATCACATGACCCCCTCGCCCCCCCCTAGTCCCCTCTTGAGGCCCCTTTGTCAATTTAACCGGTCACATGTCCTCCCAGGTCAACCAGAGTGCCATGGCCTCACATAACCTCATCCTTCGGCCGGCACCCACACACCTTGTCCTGTAGGTTCGGCACTCCACTTAAAGCATGGTGCCATCTAGCGCTATTATTCAGCGCACGCTGTGCCCCTCTAGGGTCTGTACTGCATCCACAGCCTGTTGACATCCAGCGATGTTACTACACTTCAATAGGTGACCACCAGTGCATACTGGGGCCATGTAAGTCATACCACTGTGAGGGCTGTGAGGTGCCAATAGATGGCAGTGCATCAATGGATTTGGTCCAAAGGTATATTTGGTCCTATCGTTGGATCTGACCTGCTTGTAAATAGAATATATTAGTGCAGAGATTTCAGTTTTGTGTGGGTTTTCTCTAGGTGCTATGGTTTACTCTAACTTCCCAAACACCCATTAATGCAATTGGCCCAAATACCCCAAATGGAGGATGCTCCTAAATATTCTTGAAACTGAATTAGGCATTTTTGGGTAAATAATTGCCATTTATTATTATAGGAAGTGTGTAATATTATTTGTACGAGATTAGCCCTTGTCATGGTAAGGTGGGATTGGCACCATTTGCCTTGTGCTGGCAACAGAGATGACCACGGCCGATTTACACATTAGTTTCCTCGTTCTGCCATATGTGTCATGCAACTTGCACAGATTGTACCCCTGATTCCTCACAGGGTTCTGAGTTGAAACCTCTGAGCTCTGCCCCAAACTCATGTGAATAGAAAAATGCTGAGATATCCACGTGAATTATAATACACATCCCTTTGTAAAGCCAGGACTGGTCAGATATCACCTGCACACGGATCCTTGGATACATTCATTTTTCAACAGATTGAGAGTGACTCGCTCTAATGTAGTTTTATTACTGGCAATATACAGTTATCTTTTGTATGCCCGGGGTCTTGAACCCAGGCACTTTTGAAGCAGTCTCCCAAAGCCACTGCAATAATGTATTATCGCTTAAGGCTTGAACATGCAGCATGTTAATGTTCCAGTTACACCATATTGAGCCAATAATGAGCAGTGTCAATAGAAGAAAGCTCTTAATTGCACAACCTGTAAAATCGTCCATTTCCTGGTCCCTTGGGGATTGATGTAGAATGTGTTTTGGCGATTTAGCATTTTTAACTAATCCATTTTGTCAATACGATGTACTGCATGCATACATAATATCTACAGTATAATATATGTACAGTATGCTGCATACGGAGGGTGATTGACAAGTCCATGTCCTGACTCGGGAAGCAATGGCCAATATTTTCTGAATCTCTTGCAGTATTGTTCGACTTAGTTCCCTTGAATTGCAATGAACTTGGTCCAAGTATATAATCGCTGCCCGGAAGAACACTTTTTGTCTTGCTGCCTGCTCGAACGATTTATTTGCACACCACTCCATTATCAATATAAAACTGCTATCCCCACTTAAAATCACTGAAATCCAGCAAGGTAGTGCAGATTTTCTCCAAATTCTTGAATTGTATGTCATTTTTTGAAGAAATCTAATCCTTTTTTTCAGATTTCAAATGCGTTTTTTACGGCAAAGATAATGGGCACGGCCGTGACATTTTTTGCTCTTGCTGCTGTGGGAAAATCAGATGCATCATTGGATTCAACAGAGGTAAAGAGTAGTCATCTGCATCTGAATGGTATTTGACACTGAGGTGGCCGATAGGATCCAAGGAGGCCGCAAACAACAGCAGCCTAGGACATAAATTACTTTGAGCTACTCTGCATTAAAACTTGGTGTTTGCGGATGATGACTCCCTCACTCTGACCGATGACATTATTGTCAGAGGTAGGACACTGCAAATCCATTGCAGGGCTGGGCAACTCATTGAAGTCCGATTCCAGGAGGCCAATGAGGAAAGAGTGGCTCATGGTGTCAAAGGATGTATAGATATCGAGAGAAACGAGTGGCATCGATTGAAACGGAGTCTAAAATGGGGGAAATATATACAAATTGTTGAGGACGCTTGTCAGTGCTGTCTCAGGTGAGTTGTTTTAAACAGAAGGTGAAGACTGAAAGGAGCAGAAGTTTGGGGAGGGGGTAATATGGGCCTTAAGCTGGGTGAGGGCAAGGCAGTCCCAAGAGTTTGGAGAGGTTTAAGTGGTTGGTAATGGTTGATAGCTTGCCATGTCAGTTTTAAGGTCCTGTATTCTTGAGCAACAAGGTGATCTGGCTCGTTTTGTAGGAAGGAAGAAAGTACCCAACGATATTGGCGATCACGAGAAAGTTATTTGGTGCGCTGTTTGAGCAGTGTACTGGAGAGGGTGTCCAGAGGAGACGACTTTACGTTCAGTGCTTGGATTAGGGCTAAACCATTGTTCTGGCAGCATGGGCAAGAACAAGCACAGGAATATAGGAGAATAAGTCACGAGGGTGGGGGCCGTGGCATGCGAGGGGATTGCATGAAGTTGGAGGGATGCCATAATGGTTTCGACGATGGTGCAAAGTTCGCTCGTGAAGTACATGCTGAAGGAGGTTGTGAGCTTTAATGATGCTTGTGGATCATTGTGACTGAGGGCCCGGCTGCTGCTGGGATCGAGGACATTGAGGGCTTTCCAAAGGTTCGATGCTACCTTTCATGTAAGAGGTGCGTGAGGCAGCACTCATATGTATGTTGAACTTTTTACACCATACATAGCCAACCGTGCTCATCAGCTTGTTTTCTGTCCTGCAGGCCACACTAATGGGTCTGGCCAGTGGCAAGTCGACCGAGGTAAGTCCTTTCCCAATGCCTCCTGATCACTTGGCATGGATGGCATCAGCAACTAGACAGCAGGAGATCTATGATGATGAATGAGCCTTTAGAAGTTTGAGAGGTCCCAATTTGACCAATGCTGCCCTGAGATCAGCTTTGCTGATGGGCGCAAACACCTGAATTTGGTGAAGGAGATAGGATGGAGAGGGATTTGGCAAGTAGATGCTGAAGGATAGGAAAATCAATGCCTCCTGAGATTAGGCGAGTGGCGGGTAGTTTTAACGATGAGAGCCCTTGGTGATTGTAGAGAAGTGAAGAGAAGGTGGTGAGTGCTTAGTGCATGAGCGTAAGTCATGCACGATGGGGAGGCAAATGTTAACTTGCCAACCTGGTGAGATTCATCTAAATTCTTCACACTGGGCTCTGCTAACAGTCCATAGTTAATTTAAATGCCTCATTATTTGGCCACCCTTCAGTTGCCATTCATCATCAACTGAAATCTACTCTTGAAAAACCACAGTGATCGTGCTGTCTCTTTAAAAAATATATTTTTTCTACAGAGTAGATGGGTGATGATGTATTGTAAAATATAGTTATTTGTTTCACGGCATTTATCACTTTGCTAATCCATGCATGGTGGGTTTTTTCACTCTGAAGACATAAGCATTTTTTCGAGAGCTTCAAATCCCACGTGAATACCGTGCATCAGAAAGACAGGTCTGCATTGCACAGCCGGTTTACCACTTTTAAAATTAGCTGGATTTCGTATTCAAATTGATGCTTTGGTATTGACATAGCTTAATTGTCTTTGTGATTGGCACAAAGTGCCATTTTTGCAATGAATTTTGGTCTATTAAATCTCACACCAATCATGTTCCCTTTCCATGCTATGTGAACACCTGATAGGTATAGTCCAGCAAAAACAACTCCCTACCTCCTCGTGATGCCGGATGGCAATGGTGTGATGGGCAGTGCCGTGGAGAGAGGGCCAATTTAGATTGACCATTCCCCTCATGACATTTGTAACCACCACAGTGGACAAATGGGGGCTCTGGACAGGTGTGAGGAGCTGGTAACCCCTCCACCTTCAATTAACTACCACTTAAATACGAGGTAAAACATTTATTAAGCTTGTGCCGGAGGCCCCGTGGGGACAGGCGTCTATGACATCTCCTGGCCAAACCCCATTTGTCAGAGCCAGGAGACTGAATCATTACCCTCGGGGCTCCTCCAGAAACAACAAAAAGCAACTATGGATGGCCACGTGGCATGTTCAAACGCTCACTGCGGAGGAGAGGCTGCCACTCCTCTGTTGGGAGCTGGATTGGTACTGCCTGGATCCTGCTACCATGAGGGATGGACAGTCCTCTACTCGGGGCAGGAGACTGCCAAACAACAGGGAGTGGCTCTTCTTCTGAACAAAATAATGAAGGGGGTGTGGGAGAGTGGCAGTGAGGTGTGGGAAGCTGTAAGCCCCAGGCTACTTTAGGCTCACCTTCCCATCAACCAGAGGTGAGGAGTGGTGGTTGTGGTTACTTATGTCCCCACTGAAGACGAACATCCGTGGAGGGATACAGGCAAAGCCGATGAGTCGGATGCCTTCTATGACCTCCTATCACAGGTGCTGGCTTAAGTGGCCCCTCGGGATAGTCATCTTGTTGGGTTATTTCAATGCCTGAGTTGGACATAATACTAGCACCTGGTCTGGAGTGATTGGAAGACATGGGCTAGATAAACTCAATAACAACGGTAGGAGTCTGCTAGATTTTGGTGCAGCCCATGGGCTTGTAATTACTAACACTTTGTTCCGGCATCGGCGAATCCACACAACATCATGTGTGCATGCCAGGTCCAAGCAATAACATCTGCTGGACTACATAGTGATGAAACAGCGGATGCGGGCCCATATCCTTGACACCAGGACTTACCGTGGAGCTGATCTGCCCACTGATCTTCGATTTGCCATCTGTAAAATGCGCCTGCTATTCTTCCACTCCTGTGGTGGGTGTACACCCAGGACCCCATTCAAACCCATAGTCGCATGGTCTCAGCTAGCTGATGAAAGCTCCAAGCGATAATTTAATCATCGCTTGCGGCTGGGGTTGGCATCGTCCCCCACTCATCTTGATGTCGAGGGGAAATAGGCGAGGTTTAGGACTGTGGCTCATGCAGCTGCAATGGCTGCTTTGGGCACATGGTCCAGACCTCTTCAGAAACCCTGGCTGACAGAGGTGTCCAGGCTTGCTGAGAAAAAGCGACTGGCCCACTCTCATTGTCTACAGTATCCCACGTCAGAGAATGAGGAGGTTTACCGCAGCCTTCGCTCGGCAGTTTGGAGAGCCATGAGGCACTGCAAGGATGGTTGGTAGTCGCGGTTGGCTGAGGAGATGGAGTCTGCCTCAATGGCCGGCGATCACAAATCCCTCTTTAACTCAATCGAAAAAGTAACCTGCAGCGCCACGCCTATGACCATCATTAGGGTAAAAAAACTGATCCAATCTACGACCCCCAGGAACAGGTTTACAGATTTTCTGAGCATTTCTGTGAGGTCCTGGGGGAGGGGAATCCCTCAGCCTAGAAAACAAAATGGGTAAAAGTGAGGATGACCCTGCTGAGTCTGCGGTGCCTCCAATATTGGAAGAAAAAGTCACCCTCTGTAAGTGGCTGGCTGAGGTGTCATCTGCTGAGGAAATACTGAAGGTGATCCAGAGCCTGAGACCAGGAAAGGCACCGGGCAGAGATGATCCCCCAAGCGAAATGCTGAGGGAGGGTGGCGTTTGTGCACAGACTACCCTACTTGACATCATAACAACAGTCTGAACCAATGGATGGGTTCCACAGGATTGGAAGGATGCCCTGGTGGCCCCCCTCTTTAAGAAGGGGGACCGCACAGACTTTTACAACTACAGCAGCATCTCACTCCTCAGTGTGCCGGTAAAGATCCTGGCAAGTATTATTATTCAAAATCGCCTTGCCAGCCACGCTGAGGAGAGGCTTGCGGAGCCCTAATGTGGTTTCAGGAAAGGGTGGTCCTGCACAAATGCCATATTTTCTGTCCGTCTGCTACAGCAGAGGTGTAGGGAATTCCAACAAGACCTACACCTCTGCTTTATTGACTTGGTCAAGGCCAATGAAACCATCAGTAGGCCTGGGCTCTGGGTTGTTCTTCGTGCTTTTGGAGTCCCTGGCCCGCTGTTCACGATCATTAAGGACCTTCATGATGAGCGGACTTGGGTAAAACTACATGACTGGGAGTCAGAGCCATTCCCTGTTTAATTTGTGGTGCAACAGGGATGTGCTCTGGCTCCAACATTATTTAACTTATGTTTCGACCATGTAGTTCGTGACGCCTTCAATAACTGTACCAGAGGAATTTCCATCTGGTACAGATACAATGGGAGGCTGATCAATGCCCAGGTGCGGTCAAGTGATGGCTCCCTATTGCTCAACCATGTTATGTATACCGATGATCTGGTAATTGCTGCTCACTCAGAGGAGGAGTTGGATGCGCTGCTGCTGCTGAACCTGGAGCTTGCCGCTAAGAGGTGGGGACTTGCCATCAGCCCCACCAAAACTAATCACCTGCCTGGGTATTTTATATTATCGGACACTCCACCCCCACAACTCCCAATTGGTGATAGGGCAGTTGTGGAGAGTTTCCCATACCTGGGCAGTGTGCTCATGACCGGCTCCGTTTTGACAGCAGAGGTCTCACTCCGAATCAGTCGAGTGGCATTATAATTTCATCAGTTGCGTAACGCTGTGTGGAAGCTACCTGGTCTGTTGTTCCACACGACGCTTCAGGTCTTCTCGGCCACAGTCATTCCCTCCCTTCTCTATGCTTGGTACATCTCCGCCATTTAGGCTAGCCTGCCTACGATCCATCGCGGGTTTAACCAGGCTGGATTGTGTGAGGAGCTCACATATCCTTGAAAGATCTGGTCAAAGTACTATTGGTGAGCTCCTCCGGCAGGGAAGGCTGCGTTGGCTGGGTCATGTAGCCTGCATGCCCAGCCATCGCATGCCTAAACAGCTTTTGTTCGGCCAGATCGAGGGGGCTAAACAGGTGCGGCACAGGCTAGAGAAGAGATGGAGTGATGTGGGCCAGGAGGATGTGGAGCTGAGTGGACTTTCCGATGACTGGTACCAGCGGTATCAAGATCGGCCTGTGTGGAGGAGGGATCGTGAAGGACGCTACTGTGCAGTTGGAGGCAGTCGCTCTCCAACAACAATGGAGGGGGGAGGAGCAACGCTCACAACAATGAGTGGAGTGCCGGGTGGCTAAAGCACAGCAAGTTGGCACAGTAGGGGGCACAGGTGGTGCATCAGCCATTCATCTGCGTCAGTTGACCCTTGGCACTTGGGTCTGCCCCGTGACCTCCTGCCAGCAGGCGTTCGACACTTCATGTGGCCTCAACGTGCACAAAGCCTGGCACAAGCGTCGTGGTGACGTCACCTCCACTTAGTGCCGAATGGCGGTTGTTGGTACAGTACTGAGTTTAATACTATATAAACAAACAAAGGTGAAGCTACGTGTAGCTCTATCTCCAATGTTCTCCAATGGTAGCATTTATATGTTTGCAAAAGCTGAGCACATATGCAAAATGTAAATTTAGAGGTGGGCACAAAGACAATGTTTGGACATGCAGGAGTTACTTAAGCTCCAAGAAACCGATATATTGGAAGGACACACTTAATGGCAGCTTTTCAATGCACAAAGTCAGCTAAGTGAATGTTCCGGTATTTGCACCACTATCCGAGTAGTTAACCTCGCATTCAATGAACCTTCAAAGCCAGGGTTAGCATCCGCCTCCAACGTATTTAATTAATAGAACGAGGTAAAACTGATGGAAAAACAGCACAAAATACAACATCTGTTAATACTTGCAATATCGATACAATTAATGAACACAAGGAGCATCATAACATTGTCTTAAATAACATGAAACTCAAAAATAGGTCCTGGATGCACCAGGCACCTGCATTAGAACTGAATAGCTATACAAGAGAATAAACAA